CTTGAGAAATGTCAGCCTCCAGACCTGAACGCTTCTTGTGATTTGGTTTATTTCCACAGAGTTTATTATTTTACACAGTGTTCTGGAAGTAATAGAAAAGCGCATTAGAAGCTCCTGCAAATGGAAATGAAATATAAATTTAGATTGTAAATACATGACTGCAGTAAATAGACAGCAAGAAAAAGGATGAAGAGATTAGAAATTTGCCACATTTCTCTAACCCTAAAGGGACGTTTCTATAAATAGTTTAAAACTATTGAAGACGAAGGGGGAAGAGGAAGGAGAACAGAGGCAAACAGATTTTCTCCTAATCCTTTCCATTTGGCAACATTAGAAATGATTTTTCAATCAAATTTCACTGAGCAGAGGAAGAAACCATGTCTGTTTCAACACTGAAGTTCCCGTGGGTAGGAGTCTCTAGAACTGATTTTGAGGATGGCTCCCTGTTAGTGACAAGTGCTGGTAATGCTCCTGTTGGGGGAAGGGAATGAGCACAAAAATAAATCCAAGTAAGTGTGGAGGGACAAGAAGATCTCACGGTGCAGGTTTCCCCTGGATTTTCTGCATTGCCTTTTCACCTTTCCTGTCTTAGCACGACAAATTAGGTCCCATATGAGCAGGCCCTCGCATTCAAACCAGAAATTTTAAGGAGGAAGCCAGATTAACTTTACTTGGGAGACCTAGTAGACTCTGACTTTAAAGGTTCTTTTAATCCAGCTGTTTTTAGGGAGAGCTCTGTAAAAGCTGAAAGAAATGTTGTTGTTGTTGTTTTAAAAAAGTTAAAATTCTATGGAGTGAAAACGAAGATGTTAAATATTTGATTGGCAAGGAAACTGAAAAATCTGGACCACGTCTGCAACTGCTAAAGGAGGCTTTGTGAAGGAGAAAATGAGCAGCCCAGGGAGACCCTGTGCTAAACTTCTCTGGTTAGTGAAATTCGGGCCATCCTCTGCCACAGCCTTGGACTGCTAGGAGGGCAGATCAGATGTCTTCCTCAGTGGGGAGAGGTGGGCCCTCGTTGGCAGTTTCTGTAAAGCCTTGTGCTGTGGTGTAACTCAGGGAGCCCAGAAGCTGGTATTTGGCCAAGGAACCAGGCTGACCATCAACCTGAGTAAGTATGACAGGGTGAAACTACATGCAGCTGGCTACAGTCTTTTCCTTTCTTGACCGTGTCCTGCAAGCTCTCCTTGAGGGACATATACTCATTTTGCATAGTCCTTTATAGAGAAGTAGACCAGCAAAGACAGGAAAGTCCTCAAATTTCCACTTTTAAACACATCCCTGTAAAAACTCTCTTGCTTCGCTCCCCTTCTACAATCAGTTTCTAGTAAATCAGAATCCAGTGAGTTGATACGCAATTTCAATGAAAAAAACAGCAGAGAAATAGTTACCCCAACAAGTGCAAAAAGTAGAAACTATCTGAGTACCAGCCAGGGGAAGATAATTAGGAAAGAAAAAAAAGAAAGAAATGGATTACTGGAACCGTGATGGCAGCTTAGTCACAAAGAAAATGATTTTTAAAAAATTAAATTTAAATTTTAAAAACTTTAAAGATATATATATACATACACACACACATACTCATATATATATATGTATGTATATCAGGGCTCCATTGCCCTCTGGAACCCCAGCACCCACCTACAGCAGCTGCCTTCTGGACTTATTAAATAACCTGTAAACCTGTAGTTTAATGAAGAGTTGAGCAATCGAGACCATATTGACCCCCAGGACCCTTCTGCAAAGAGCAGCTTCTGTTCCGGTTTCTGTAAAGCCTTGTGTGGCTGTGAGAATAGTGGAGGTAGCAACTATAAACTGACATTTGGAAAAGGAACTCTCTTAACCGTGAATCCAAGTAAGTTCGAGGGGAGTGGGGGACGGGGGAATTCAAACACTTCTGATTTAAATTACTTGTCCTTCCAAAACATTCCAGCTTAGGTTCCAAATCTAATGTTTGTGCTGGGGGGATATGGTGCCCATCAGAGGGATTAGAACTCCACTGTACAAAGACTAAATTACTTTCAGCCCAAAACATTCCTATCATCCATCTTAAACCAGATTATTGGTGCAAGGAGAAAAACTGAATACAGAATCCTGAGGGATCCAGCTAAGGGTCAGGAAATGTTTGCCAAAAAGATAAAGAGGAAATTGGCATATTGTGACTATGCAAATGCAGTAGACCAAATATAAATTGTCCTGACTTAGATGCTAACACTCCTCTTAAATTTATCGCCTGAAATAATGGGGCCCTGCAATTTCATTAACTAATGCTGAAAATTCTATAAGCAGGCTCCTTTTCTTCTTTTACCTTCACTTTATCTCTCTGAAAAGAACTGTTCTCAATCCCCAGTCTGCGAACTGAGGTCCCGTGGGTGGAGCTGTCTGGTTAACTCAGGCAGGGAGCATTTAACCCCACTTTTTCCTTGGTTACCAAAATAATGGATTCAGCCTCCACTGAGTTCACCTGAGAAGGGAAAAATTCATCTGTCCTCTGAGTCATGAGAAGAGAGCAGCACATTCTCTCCTTTCAAATATACACCCACCCTTCCGTAATGGTAATGTGTGAGTACTTAGGAAGTTTTTAAATGTTAGATATGAAAGTAAGGCACTGTGGTTACTAATAGCCCTTCTTGAAAATCTGTGCTGCTGGTGGACTTCTGAAAGTGGTGCTTATCAACTAAGCTGGAGAAGACTGACTTGTAAAATTCAGCTAAAATGAAAACAGAAAAAACTTGTCCAAGGGCGCCAGTCTCCTAAGTGCCCTGATGTTGAGTAAAGGCCAGATGCCCCAGTTTTACTTACTCAGATCTGCTTTCTATGATTAAGAAGAGATGCCCACTAGAGAGAGGCACTTTGAAAAACACAGCCCAGGCAAAATTCTTAAAAAGACTGGCTCTGGTGGCGGGTGGTAAAGCATTCAGTGACACCGTGTATGCAGCATTGAGGGAGTTAATGCAGACTTGCGAGCAGACAGCTTGGAATGTTCTGGGATAGGCCCTGCCTGAAGAACATGCAGTGTGGTTAGCCGTCAAGTTCCCATGGGCAGAAGTGCCTTGCTCAGCAGGGGCAAAATCAGCACGTCTGTGGCAACAGCAACAATGAATAATATATGATGTTGTTAAATCCCAGGCGTTCAGCAGTCTCCACTGAGGTCTTATCAAATTAAAGCTTCGAGGGCATTCATATGAACATCCCAGGAGACTCAAGGACTCAGTCGCCTTTCAGAGGGTGGGCAGCCAAGGCTAGGGACCAGACAGTAGGCTTTTTTCTCTGGCTTCTTACCGGAAACACACCAGGGCGGGGATTTGTGGTGGGTTTTCCAGAATGCAGAGAAGCTGGGAGCCCCTCTCAGCACTTGGTCAGCCTCTTAGGGGACCCAGAACTGTAACAACTCCTACCCTCCAAAATGTTGACGAGGTCAGGGAGGTTGGCAGCCTTACCAGGCAAAGAAACTATCTGTGCGAGGCTAGCATTCTTCCAGAGCTCTGGACGGTAATTGTATGCCAGATTTTCCATGCAGTGGACTCTTCAGCTGCAGGAACTACATGGCAAGGCTGGAGTCCAAAGAACCCATGATTCCATTCTGTTTTCCTGCAGTAAGTGGAACACAGAGATTATTGCCACAGCAACACTTTGGTGCCTATCTGTTTGAGGGCCTCAGCTGAGGGCAGGCATCTGGTTTTGCTTATGTCCTATGGAGGCTGAAGAGAAGATGGGAAGCTCTTTAGACAGTGAATACTGTGGAATAGTGAAGAGATGGGAAGGGTTGTTTGACTCCCTGACTGCTGTCCTTAAAAAAATGGATACATCTTCTTAGCTAAATAATAGCTTTTTCTCTCACCCTTTTCATGATAGTAAGCAAGCTAAAACTTTAACCCTTTGTAATAAGTGGTTGCTTGAAGAGATGACTAAACAGGCTAGCATAAATTCAGTCCAAAAAAGTCTGAGTTAAGAAAACTAAATTCAATTAAAGAGGTATTTGTTTTTCATACCCTTTGGGGACAGGGTTTGATCATCACCACATCATGAAACTGCCTGGATTTTGTTCTTCCCATTTTTTGTGACATCCAGACACAGCCAGGGAGACTCCCAGGATTCCTGTGGTTGTGTCTGTTGGCAACAGAAGCATTGTTTGGTCAAGGGATGAAATTTACAGGAACCCCAAGTAAATGTGCAAAAGCCTGCCTCCAACAGAGACCTCACTTAACCCTACCACTGTGGCCACTGGGCTGCTCTGCGGGGTCAGAACACCTCAGGTGAGACTGTGGAGTGACCAGATGTCCTGGATTTCCTGGGATTCAGGCGTTTTCCAGGACAAAGGTCTTTCTTTGCTAAGCCCAGAATGATCCCCAGGATCGTTAATCACCATAACAAGGCACAGATAAAAACTTTTTTCTATGAGCTACTACTTACATTTCTCCAGATTCAAGACTGACAAAAAAGCTAAGTTGTGTGAAAGCTCAGTTAAATGTGCCCATCGTTTTTATTTCTTATGCTAGGGCATGAAGGGAAACTCAGGAGATACTGTTTCTTGAGGCTGCAGTCTAAACCTCATCTAATTCTAGTCAGTCTCCAAAAAGCTGAACACTCTCCTCCTGTCTCCTTGTAATCAATTCATTGTCGTCAGAAATGTGTGACACCTCGAGGGGAGGGGAGGACATGTCTTGAAAACTGATCAGAGAAATTGTCCTGAAAATGATGCTGTAAAATGGAAATTAGACCTTTAGAAAGAGAGATGCTGAACATGAGAAATCAGTAAAGCCTCAAGACAAAAACTAGAGGAAATGGAGAGAGATGGGAGGCAGGAAGCCGGCCCTGGGGGACGCAGCAGGTCAGTGTCCCAGGACCAGAGGTGGAAATGGTCTTCCGACCTTTAGTGGGAAGAAACTGAGCCTCACAGGGCTGGGCCCCTTTGGGTGAGCTCATTCTCCCCAGAATAAAAAGAGGAGGAAGTCTGTGAGCTTCAGAAGTCTCCCTAGGGTTCTTGTAAAGGCCTCCAGTGCAGTGCTAATGCTGGTGGTGCTGGCTATGGAAAGCTGACATTTGGACAAGGGACCATCTTGACTGTCTATCCAAGTAAGTGTAACAGGACACAGCAGTATACTGGAAATTCTGGAATTTCACCCCAGTGTCAGGTTTCAAAGAACCAGATATTGCTTCAAGTTAAATGGTGTCCTCTGAGGTCCTTTCTCTTCTTTAATCTCAATATTCATAGATTTCCTTTTGGACCCTGAGTTGTTAGGTCCGTCTCCCTGCTGCGTGTACAGCTGACCTTGACCCTGGAAAGTCAGAATCTTTCCTGCTTTCAGGGTCTTCTATGGAGATGATGCCCTAACTTTTTTGAGGGGAAGGTCACCCTTTCCAAATGACTCCCCTGAGTAACCTATTCCAGCGTTTAGTGGCATTCCCTGTCAGAAAGTCCTTCCTTATGTCAATCTTCAGTTATGCTTGGTATAGCCGAGGCCGTTTCCACCAGCATCGTCCACAATAAAGAGGAACATTGAGAGCAGGGTTTGAATAGGTATGTGGTATTTGGTTCAGAATGGGTTTTAAATGAAAGCGGAGAGGGAAAAAATGAAAACTGAATGGGAATCTGCGGTCTTATTTCAAATCCCTCTCTGTTTCCTGTCTGCTGTCTCCTTTTGCTTCTATAGATGTGAAACTACAAAGAGAGAGAGGGGGAGAGAAAGGATAGACAGAAATAAACATCCACTGTGTCCATTCCCTATCGCTGAAACCACCAGGCAAGGGATTACAATTAATTCCAAAGAGTTTCAGATACACAGCTTAATACCTTTCTCCTCGTGGTAACTTGTATCCTGGCCGATAATTAGAGCAGATAGAAAGATTTGGCTTTGGTGTGTTTGCCGCTGCACCCCACTGGGAAGAGACAGAAACTTGACTGTTTTTTAAGATTCATAAAGTTCCTTCTGTCAGTCGTTGTAAAACTCCCTGAAGCAGGGAGATGCGTGACAGCTATGAGAAGCTGATATTTGGAAAGGAGACACGACTAACCGTGAAGTCAAGCAAGCAGGAAAGACCTAAACTCACAGTGTTCCTTATGTGCTTTTGCTCCCTTCCCTGTTTCAGGCCTTTTGGCTCTTTCCTGTAGGGATTCTAAGGGAGTCAAATGGAAATGGATTAAAGAGAATCTGGAGCCCCATGGGTGCTCAGAAATGATAAATGAAAGGAATAAGAGACAGAGAGGGAAACAAAGTTGAAAAGCAAGAATATGCTTTTCACTGCAGCGTGATAAGACTGAGATGGGAGGTGGGTGTCAGAGAAGGGTGTCATCACTCCAGTTGCTATTACAGAACACTCTGTTTTCCTAGGATCTCTATCAAGGGCAGTGTCCTCTTATGCCAAAGGGATGAGTTAAGTCCCTGTATTTTTGGAATAGCTGCCTTTGGGCAGGCATAGTTGGGCAGGCATAGTTGGGCAGGCATAGTTGGTCAGGCAGATAGTACAATCCCAGTTCAGGGTGCATGGAGGAGGCCACCTGACGTTGCCACCTGTATCTGCTCCATTCAGTGGCAGCATAAATTCATGCCAGGGGGGTGTGGATTTGGAATATGCTGGTGCCACTACAAGGCTGAATATTGAGTTGTTGTGATCATCTTGAATGTGTGAGATGCCTCCAAGTGAAGTCTGTTTCTAATGAGCAGGGTGCAGGTTGGACCAATATTGCCCATTTTCTGTTGAGTTTCTCCAGGCCCAGTGGTGTGGGAGCCAACATTAAGAGACTGACATTTGAGCTAAGGATCCTATTGACTGAAATATGCCAAAGGGATCTGAAAGGCCAAAACTGCCTTCAGAGCTCGGCCTTTGTTGTTAGCTCTCTGGCAGTTGTCATTTCAGCAAAATGCATCCACTTAGAAAGGTCAGCTCTTCATTAGGCAGACAAATGAGAACAACATATTGACCAGAGATAAGGAGTTGGGAGCCCAGATCTCAGCCTCTGAGAGCCTGGCATTTCCACTTCTTTAATCACGCGAGCCGGTGAGCATATGCTGTCTCAGAGAAAGCAGATCAATGGTGCCTGAGGACCTGGTGTCACCAAGCTAGAGCTTAGAGATGGAAATGAGATGCAGATGGGGATGTTGTGTGAATTGGGGAATAATAGAGAAGGGAGGAGGAGACAGGGAGTTCAATGATGCTTTTTAAAACCCGCAGCATGTGAGAAATTGTAATGACACAAAGGTGAAGAAGTATGTATTGCATATAATCCTAGCAAGTTTCCTACCATTCCCAACAGAATCTGGCCTCACTGTGGCTCCAACTCACAGATCCTATAGGTAATGCCAAATGGTACCTGAGATGCCTTTTGAAATGGCATCAAGAAAGACTGGGCTCTGAAATCTTTGAGAGTCACCTGTCAGTTATTGTAAAGGTTTGGATGGTTGTGTGACAACCTCCTACAACAAGCTGATGTTTGGGCCGGGGACAAGCTTATCAGTCATTCCAAGTAAGTCTCCCTGGGATGCTGCGTGTGGAGTGCAGTGGGGCTAACAGTATCATGCATTAGGGCTTAAATGGCTTTGCAGATGGCATGGTGGTTGAGGACACAAAATTGAGAGAATCAAGATACATTGACTCTGATCAGAAAAACAGGTCACGTAATAGCAAATACAGGTTTAGTCCTTAAAAGGTAGCATAGATAACATGGGACTTGAACGTGGCAATTTGAAAAACAACCTGTGGTCTGTCGGCACGTTCTCACTGCACATGGGGGATAAACAGAGGTGGGGGAATAAGCAATGGACATTGCATGATGGGGGTGCTAGGGAAATGAGGCAGGTCAGAAAGAAGCAAGGTGACCAGAGCCCCATACGGGGTTAATCTAGAGAAGATGAATTGTTCCATAAGGTTCACAAAGAAATAAAGTCCAAAGATGTAATAAGGAGTCCTGATTAAAATCCACTTCAGAATCATATGATCATCAGGAGAGAAATTAAGTCTTAAAAGAAAAAGAATTTTTTAAATGCCCAAGCATAAAACAAATGGACCTACACCTTTAATTAGACAGCAAGCTGCACAAGATGCACATTAGCCTTCCTTTTAATCCCCTCTCAGGAGGGATGAGTCCCTCCAGCTGCACATGGTCACAGCTGCTCTAAGCCCTGGAGCTCCTTCCCAGTAATACCCTTGCTCCTGCGCCTGCACAGAGAAGGAGATGCCTGCCTGCCTGCCGGTCTCTGCCTTTTGGTCCGTCGCTTGGCGGGGCCCCAGGTGTCAGCTCTGGCTGTCTCTTCTGCCTGGTTTTTGTTGAGCTTCCTATCACAGTGGAACACCGGTAACCAGTTGTATTTTGGGACAGGGACAAGTTTGACAGTCATTCCAAGTAAGTCAAAGAAAATTTTCCATCACCATTGTGTTGAGCAAACCCTTTAAACGGCAGAAAGCTGTCAAAGTCTGCTACTCTATTTCTCTGCTTCTAGGTATAACTTTATCTGGACCAGAGTAAAGAGGCGCCCCCACACCTGAGAATGATTTATGCTTGGACAGGTCTTTATTTCATTCCTTGAAGTATCTATCTATTTACCTATTATCTATCTATCTATCTATCTATCTATCTATCTATCTATCTATCATCTATCTCAGAAATAGTTGTTTTTAACAGTTAGTTCTGTGCCTCACCCAAATTGTCATTAACTAAATGCAGATGTGCTGCCACACTGATAAACTTCATTGGAAGAAAACAAAAAACCAAACCCAGAGAATGTTCCTTGAACATTCCTAAAGTGGGGGAGCAGGCGATGTCACTTGCAGTGACAGCTGGCCTCTCTAGGTCACCCCCACAACTGTGCCAACCAGAGAAACTGGGCTCTTTGTGGCACTAGCCTCAGGAGCAGAGAATGGAGGGACATTCCCAACTGAGAGGAGAGGGACTAGTAGGCTAGAAGGGAAATGAGGTGACTTTACAGAAAACCGAATATGGGATGGTGTAAAGGGATGAGAAAGATGGCAGGGGGGTCCACACTCACTCTTGTATTTAGACCTGGGGGATGCACTGATGGATACCACGTGGAGAGAGAAAGAGGATTTCTGTTTCTCTCTGAAGAAAAATGTGGCAGAAAAATCGAAAGAGATCGCACATGTCAAGCCTCTCCTAATTACAGTCGTTGATTCTGGTTTCTCTCAGTTGTCCAGCAGGAAATGGTAGGAAAGGGTCACTGGTGTCTTTGATGTTGTGGAAGCATTGCAGGAAGGAGATTTGCAAGAAATGGGGCAGGGGTTTGCAGTAGAGTTTGGAGAGTTTAGAGTGATGGTTTTTGTAATGACTTAGAACACTGTGTATCTAACTTTGGAAATGAGAAATTAACCTTTGGGACTGGAACAAGACTCACCATTATACCCAGTAAGTTCTTCATCCTTGGTCAGGAAATCAGTCTGCATAAGATTCCAGGGGTCATAGTAGACATGTGAGCTTACAGAATTTTCATCTGTCCTTGTTCAGAACTGGTAGAGACAGGCGGCAACCAAATATCTGAGTTTTCCGGGGGAACTCCAGTCCTGACTATTTAATTCAAAACTAGAAAATATGCTTCACAATTCTGTTTTTGCTGCTGCCATCAAGTGCTAATGTGGCATGTGAAGAGAATTCAGGCAGAATGACTGCATCTTCACTTTTATCTTGTGTAATAGTTTTAACTTTGAGTACTGCAAGTATTTGGAAGAAATGGTAGAAACACAGAATATCAAAGAGACAAGCAAACCAAGAGACCCAGAGAGGCAGGCAGACGGAACGTCAGGCAGCATAATTTTACAAAACTAATTCCGTGTTGTGTCTCTCTCTGCAAATGGCAAGTTATCTGGAAAGGTGCTAAGAGCTAGTGCTCTGGGCGGGGCAGGATTATCTAAACAGAACACCAAGCACTGATCTCAAGGGGAAAGTTTAAACTTGGAAATCTCTGGGTTTGATTTTTTCTTTTTTTCCAATGAAGTTTATTAGTGTGGCAGCACATCTGCATTTAGTTAATGACAATTTGGGTGAGGCACAGAACTAACTGTTAAAAACAACTGTTTCTGAGATAGATAGATAGATAGATAGATAGATAGATAGATAGATAGATAGA